AGATATATATAGATATAGAGATAGAGATATATATATATATATATATATATATCTATATATATATAGATATAGATAGATATAGATATATATATATATATATATATAATATAGATAGATAAAGTGCTCTACCCACTATATATAATATATATTCTTTATATATAATATATATAACGTCAGTAGGGTAGACCTAGTGAATGACGGGACGAAGCGGAACCTTCGACATTCAAACGTCGTTGCCCGGACACAATTAACGCGCCCCCATCACACCGGCAACCGAACGTTCATTGGACGTTCGAACAGCTGGTGACGGTGTTGTCAGCGCGCGGCGGCGGTTCGTGTGTTGTTGTGGTTTAAAGATGTCTCGTGCGGGGTTGCGCTGCCCGGACTGCGGCTCCTCCAACGTTGTGGACGATGAGCTGTACTGTCAGGCCCAGACGGTGTGTGTGGACTGCGGCTCCGTGGTGTCCGAGGGAGCGCTGACCCACGAACCGTTCGGAGGTCCAGGTATGAACTGTGGCGATACGGAGGGAGGCCTCCTAGCGGTCTGTCTGTCTGTCTGGTTAAAGTTATATCTGTGTATAATCACCAGTTACCATGTATCAAATGGGTTGGGTTTTTTTGTTCGCTTTTTTTATACACATTTAGTCTGAGCTTTCCTTTTAGAATTTTGTTTGTGGCTCTCACAGTGTTAAAATGACATGTACACATTTAACAACATCCAATTATGTCACTTCGAAGTCTAACCTGATAGATTAAATGTCTGTTTAAAGTAAATTAACCCTAAAAGACTATATCAAACGTGAATAACAGTCAGAAACCCTCCACTAATGCTCTCCATTTTTCAGGTCAATACTGAAACCAACAAGTCCAATTATAGGTCTCCCTGATAGCCTAATGGTTGACTGTGACTGTCAAATAAAATAATAATAATAAACAACGAAATATAATCTTTGAAAAGAAAGTCTTTTTTAATAAACACATAATAATCAAACAAACTTGATACAGACCTCTTTGATATGCTGATTTGTTTAATTGGACCGAGATACATACATATATTGGCTGGTTTATGTCGCTCTACCAGGGAGTGTGTCGTCCTATTTAAAGTGTTACACAGTAAATGCAGAACCAGATTTGTTTTCTAAAGGTTTATTTATTTTTACCACCCTCAGCACAGCATTGTCTTAATGACCTACCATGGACCTCTCCACTTTTGAAAGAATCAGGTTTGCTCTGAAGGACAAACATGAGGATTCTGGGAAAATGTTGTCCTCCTTTCATTACTTTTCTAAAAGGAAGTCTATATCAGTTCTAAGGACAACTCTCACTCTTCATCAGACAGCTTTTAGCGTCTAGTGTGCTGAATTGATGTTGTTTTGATGTCGTACCTTTCACCTTATTCACTATATGTTCTTGTGGGTTCATCATGTTCTGTGTTCTGTTATACAGGCTATATTTTCTGGGATACTGACACATACAACTGTGCACAATAACAGAGCTTTAATGTAGCACGCACTGTTCCTGCAACGAGAATATGCTATTTATTTTTTTTTTAAATGTCACTTTTGCGTGAGCACCATGAGTAAATTCTATTCACCTTCATTTTACTGAGGTGGAAGCAGATATTTTAGAGACAGATATTTCAAATAAATCTGAAACTATCTGCATGGCTAGAGGTATCATTAGAGGTAAGAGACAAAATAGGTTGTTTTTTTGTTGCTGTATCTTCTGTAGAAGACAGGTAATAATAATGCAGCACCCGCCTTAAGGTCCTTTTTATTATTTGAGTTGCTATATTGTGGTTTAATGTCGCATATTGATCAAATTACCACATGGTAGGTGACATACTGTGCACATGAGACCTTCAAGACCCCAGAGGATTTGGGGCCACAGAGAACATTTCCCCGATTGGTAATCCATTTCAGGGTCAAAAGGTTCAAAAAGAAACTTCAGATCAAATGAGTGATGGTGATTTTTGTAGCGGAAATGAACAGTTTTACAGCAACGAAGTGGAGACACACATGCAGTGCTGCCGTCCCCTTTAAGTGATCACAATCCCCAGCTGGCCAGCTCATATCAGTGTCACAACCTTTCTCAGATATGGCGTACCCTTGTCTCAAGTGCTTTGGGGTTTCCAGATATCTAAAAAGGACTAATTATATATCACTTGTGCATTTTGTTTAGTTGTGTACTTGAACTATCCCAAATGTTTCCAACAATGTTCAAACCCAGAGAAGTCTATAATTTCCTTCAAGGTAAGGGTACGTTTGATTTGGTCGCCTTTCAGTCGTCATATCCTCTTCTGGGGAAGCAGGTTACGTCAGAGTGAGGAAGGAGGAAGGAAGTCTGCGAACGTGACTAAACGTAACGTGAATAAATATATGAACGTGTCCGTGAACATGGTTTCTGCCTGAGCCACGTCAGATCTTCATCAGCGATGTTGGTTGTTTAACAATGAAGACAACAACTCCCATGATTCCGCTCTGCTTCATGATGTCATCAAAATACGTCTGTTGTTTTGGTTTTGATGTGAGACCCTCTAGTGGCTGAAATGACATACTGTGCGTTTAAGGCGACGTGTGAATAAACCTATTGTATGCTTTTCATTGACTGTTTTTAAGAAAGAAAAAAACAAACTACAAAAGACGTTTGGGACGGGTTGTGAAACGCAACCGCCTCTGTAATGTCTGATCACTGGGGCTCTCTTCTCTCATGGGATATTTTAGGAAAACAATTCTACGCCATCTGTTGACTTTTGTTAATTGGAGCTAGTTTTCCTGAGACCTGAGCACCTGTATGTATTATGAACTCTGCACTTTAAATCTCTATTTTATGATTTAGATGTTTTTTTGCATTTTAAACTTAAAATAAATTGATTTTAATCGATTAATGGCCCAGAAGTGTAATTTCCTTCATTTTTTTTCTGAATTCGAGTGTTGGTGGCTCTGCTAATCACAACCCTCTGACACCTCCATTACATTTACATTTTCCACTACCTTTTTGTCTTTGCCTTGACTCTGTGTGGTTTTTACAGAAATCAGCTACAGCCGAACCACAGCCGTGGCCAAAAGGCCGTGTGTAAACCTGATAAAGGGTGAGATCTTCTCTTTAAGGCTCTTTAAATATATTATAACATTGTCGCTCTTATATATTCTTTACCCTGCCGTTCTCACATGCTCATACAGTATATCTGTTATATTTCTACAGGTCTGCAGCGTGTCACTGCCATGTGTCGGATTCTCAGGGTCAACAAAGAGATCGAGGATCTCTCACAGACTTATTTCAATCAGGCATATGAGCACAAAAGTTTCATCAAAGTGACCTTCCAGAAGAAAGAAGTTCTCGCTGGGTGCTGTGTGCTCGTAAGCTGCAGACTGCTCAATTGGCCCCTCACCACGGGAACCATCAGCTGCCTGCTGGATGCCGACCCGATGGTGGTGGGCGCGGTTTATAAAGAAATGGTCAAGATTCTCAACATCACGGCTCCGATCGTCAACGTGGCGGATGTAGTGGAGGCCCACAGTCAGGAGTAAGTGAAGAATAGTGGTCTCAATTTTTCTGTTTGATGCCAAGCTTCACCAGAGTCCTCTTATTAGCAATATGATCCTCATATGATGGTTAATTAGGTCAGCCAAAGAGTCATTATTTACATTGTAGAATACTGATCATTCAGTCATAATGTCTTGAGAATGAAGTTGAAATATTTTGATAAAAGTTGTATTTTTCTAGTTTTCTAGTTAAAAAAAAGAAAAGAAAAAATTGCTTCAAGTCAGATGTTATGTTTAAAAGTTAATTGTATTACATGTGCATGTTTTAGCATTTCCTGACAGTTCATAGGCTTTCCCTAAACTTAGTCTTATCCTGAAACCAGAGTGCCACACAGGATTATGTGTCTGTCAGATGGTCTGAATGGGATGCAACCTTATCAGCAGAGCCCAGAGCTATAACACACTGCACAACAGATTATAGGACAGGTAGATTATGGCAGCCTTTCACATCCTGTACATAAAGCCCACTGAGCCTTAATCACTCTCTGATGCCATGACAGTTTTTTCCTCCTGAAATATTGTGACTTCTTGTAATAATGACTTTGTTCTTGAAATATTCTCCCAAAATGTCAGATAATTTTTTTTCTCAATGTGACCTTAATACTTCTGGACTACATCAACGAAAATACGTCGTATTGAAGTAATGTCACAGCCTGATTGAGATTTTTTTTTATGACCCAGTACTGTCAATTGCCCTTGATTCCTTCAGACCAGCTTATTTAGCTTTTATTTACAAAAAGTGGACAGGGATGATTCTTATTCGGTTAGCTTTGACTGGACAGCTACCAAGTAGAATAGAAAACCATAAATACTCTTAATTATATATAAGTGCCCTAAATGACAAATTCCATTTTCTAAAACCATTTCAAAATTGGGCCGATAGTTACTGAGAATGTTTTTCTTCTTCTTCTTCAGGTACAAAATTAGCTCACTTCATGTTCCTGAAGAATTGGCTGAGAACTCCAAGGACCTGACCCAACGTGCCTTGGCCCTGGTGGAGCTGGCAGCAGATACCTGGATTGTGACTGGTCGGAAGCACATCCCCATCATGATGGCGGCGATATATTTGTCTTGGCAGTCCTTGAAGCCCAACAAGCACCGCCTGAAATTCTCTCTGGAAAAATTCTGTCAGATGGCCAAAGTACATAAGCACAAACCTGCTTTGAAGAGAATCGCTGAGATAAAGGAGGTACTGTGTAAGCTGGGTAAGGAGATTCCCTGGGTCAGGGAAGCGGTGACACCAGATAATGTTGTTCAGCAGGTGGAGGATATTCTACAGCACAGGTACGCCCTGCTAAGGAGGGCTCTGAGAACCCACGAGGACGCTCTAACTGAGGAGACCGCTCCCTCCCAAACCTCAGAGCTGGCAGAGCAGGCTCCAGATGTATCCGCTGTGGAGCAATGTGAGCCGGACACTGACAGGGCCCAGCGACCAGGAGATGGATGCACAGTATCTGAGCTGCACAGTGACAGTCAGGAGAGCCAAGATCCATCAGCAGGCTGGGGGAAGAGAGTGCTGTTTGCTCCCCCGTGTGTGATCCATGCTAAGAAAAGGAGGGCGGAGCAGCCTGAGCTCAAGGATGTGACTGGTGATGAGGAAATCTCCGACAGTGAAATCGAGTCGTACATCCGCACTCCTCGGGAAGTTCGAGATTTTGCTCTGACACAGAAGATATTAGAGATAGAGAACTCCTAACCAGTTGTGTATAGAGACCAATATTCAGTTTGTTGGTTATAGCTGTTCGATGCAAGTATCTCATTCTAAGGATGCAGGTATCTTATTTCCGTAAGCCTTGGTTCATATAGAGATGCTACAACCTTTTTTATGTTGTATCCAGTAACAGACTGTATCTGTTTATTGCTGTGCTGTTTATACTTGCTTTTCTACTAAATAAAGTTATTGGACGCATCATATTATGTGCAATCAGTGAAAAATGCAGTGCGAGGATCCCCACTTAACAAACTGAAATAACTTTTTCATGGAGACATTTTGACATGTTTAATTATGGAAATCACAGGTGCAAATAATGAAATAAATGATGGCCAAGTTCCATTTAGCTGCTTTGCTTTCAGGGTTCTGGTATGCATGCAGGCTCACTCTTATGGCTCAGTGGGACACTTGAATAGAACTGATCCATTTTTAATGTTATCAGTAACACCGTTGCTTTCCCTACTGTGACAAATCAAAATGTCGGCTGAGAAAAGAGTCTTATTATGTCAAGCCTCCAATGAATCCTTCATTGTGTTAATTGAATATCTACTTCTACCCATAAGTAGTTTCATAACACAAACACACACAAAAGTTTAGAAGTATTACTTCTCATTTATAAATTCACTATAAACGCCAATGTGACATGAATGAATATTGTTTGACTGATTACACTATTAAAGTCCAACCTTTCAGAGTAAAAGCCCTCCTTTCATTTCCCTGGTACATTATATAATTGTAACATTCTTCAAAAAAAAGAGCAAGTATGGAGTGCTTGATTCACGTCAGCCCTGGGATTTATGAAATTTAATATTTAATTTTCTCTCTGAGTGTGCAGAGCTATTTTGGCATATGATCTGGAATAATACATAATGATTTAATGTTACCCACAGTGATGCACCAATTCTGTATGTGTAGATCACAGACAAGGATATATGCAGTGAATCTAAGACTCACCCTTGGTTTCGCAGCACTGTACTCGCTTTTTGATCAGAAACTGTAAATTGGGCTTATTTCACAGGGTGAATAACTAAACATACATAATTCAACTGCAGGAAATTTAAGTCATTGTTGCACCAAGCTGAACCAAGGAGAGCCATAAATTCTCACAACGTGTCAGTGTCCTAAACAGGTCTCGTTGAAATGCAGAAAACACTTCTGTCCTCCCCTCTATTTAATTAGTAAATTCAGCGGCGCAATCGCACTCTGACCAAGTTGGGTATAATTTCATTCCTTGTCCTGCCAGTCATGCAGTTACATTGATCTGGAGCAGAGAGGTCATTCGATCTCTGTATTTTTATTCACATTTTTCCACAGTGTATTGTTAGTGCAGGCTACAGATTAAATGATACCTTTTTTCACCACAGATCATATACATAATTTACAAACAGTTTGGTGGTAATAATAGCACTGAATACAGCGTGTAGCGTGCACCCTAAACCCTTCATACAAGCAAATGATGATAGGAACAGAACAAACAAAAAAAAGGGCACACATTTAATTCCAAACCACTGTGGTGGAGGTGAGGTTTAATAATTTTAGTGACAGCACTTCAAACTTGTTGACTTTGTTGAGTCATCTCTGCCGCAAAGATAAATCTGTCCCGTCTGTCTCTGCAGGAAAGAGATAATATGCATACAGAGAATACAGAACAGGTGACATGGCACTATAAGTAAATAATGGAACTGAAATGATGACAACCAATCAGCCTGTTATCAGTTCTTGACAACACAGTGGTACATGGGGATATTCTGATTACTTCAAGACTGCACCAAACCTGACACATTTATGCCATGTCAATCAGTCTTGTACATTTTGTACAAAATCTCAAGAAGCAGTAGAAACAAAAAGCAGGAGAACACAGAAAGCACCACGGAACCAAGCACCACAGTACAATGCTTTCATTTTTTACAACCAATATACAATGCTATCTGAAATAATACAATGTATTATTTCTTGCGGTCCACATTCATTAACTACATGCTTTGAGAAAATTAAAGCCCAGGGGAACAAGTTCATGAATTTAATCAATTCCCCAGCGATCCAAGAAAGAGCGCCACAGGAGGATTAGTTTGGACATCAGTGCCCTGGTGGAAACACAACCACATCTGCAGCGACCATTTTCCAAACACAGTTGTTAAAGGGAAACCGGACTGGCCACTTTCTTCTTATTACAAAGATTATTAAACAAATCATTCCATATCACACAATTGCATACAGGGCAAGTGTGCAGCTTACGCACAGTATACTACATTTAATATTTAAGATGCACAAGCATTCACGTCTCTGCAGTCTTTTCTCACTGCAAAGAGTGGAACTTGTAATAAACCTGTATCTTTTAGCCTGGCTGGTAATCCTCGCTCCAGCAGCAGTGCTGGTCAGTGTGTCAGTCTGTCCATCCAGCCCTGTTCTAGATAGAGATATCAACACAACTACTGGCCTGATTGCCTTGGAGTTTGGTATAAATAGTCTTGGTTTTCCAAAAACATACTGTGACTCTTTGACCTTTAATCTAACTTTAATGTGAAAGGTTCCAACACTAAGGTCCATATCAAAGCATCTTGAAAACTAATGGCCTGATTTTAGTGAAATCTGCTGCTGATATTCATAGTCCCCAGAGGATACTGACCTTGTATCTGGGCACACTCGTGTTTCCCAGCCGATGAACCCTCTCTGCTTTTGGACCTCTATGAGCTGTCTCCTATAGCGACAACCTTCGGTCAAAAAAAACAACTTTTCACACAAGATAACTAACAGCTAGGACACTCTTCACTTCATCAACCAACTGACCCTCCTTCGATTGCTATTATTTTTTTATTTCATATCTAAAACTCTGTAAAGGGGAGATTGCCATTAAATTAACTGAACACAGAATGCTGCCCAAAAGACTGACCCCCCTCAAGAGGCCAAGAGATCATCTTTGTACACAACGTCACTAATGGCTGGATTGCCATGAAAGTTTTTGTGGATTTTACTAGTGGCCAGAGGATGAACTCCATTAGTTTGGTGACACACCAAAGTAAACCACATACACTTAAGATGAATCGGCAACCTACACTGAAATAATGACAAAGGATTCTCCTCAGCAGGTAATTACAAGACCACACTGGCAGCACAGTGATTTGCAGGCACTCCAATGCGATGATGGCACTTGAACATCTTCCGTAACTCGGCGCGGAAGCGGTCGTGCAGCCACGCATAGAGGAAGGGGTTACAACAAGATGAACTCATGGCGCACAGGTGGCAAAGCAGTTGGATGAGTAAAAAGTAGCGCTTGTTAATGAGGTGGATGTCTATGTCTCGCAGCACATTGAATACATGAATAGGAAGCCAACACACTGCAAAGGCAGACACCAAGAGTGCAACAAGACGAAAGATCTTCCTCTTACGGGCTTGTTGAGCGCATGCCTGGTTTTGTGATCTGTGGCCTGGTGCGACACAGTTCTTCAGTTTGACAGTGATACAGAGATAAGACACAAAGACAGCTGATAATGGCAGGACATAGGTGACCAACAGGGTGCTGTATGCATAAGCACGTCTCTCTTTCTCTTGCCCCAACCAGAACTCCTCACAGATGGTGAAGCCTTCATCTTTGAACTCCACGTGGTAGGTGTGGGTGACCGCTGGAGCCACCAGCCCACAGGACAGCAGCCAGATGCCAGTGAGGACAGAGGCACAGGTGGCCACAGTGGTGCGCTTCTTCAGGGGATGAACTGTGGCATAATATCTGCAGTAAAAACAGAGAAGAACTTTACATTAAAGCTACTCATGTTTAATTTATGCCTGACTGATCATGCACAATGTGTTATTTAATGCATGATTTAGTCCTGCAGCAAAATTGAATACAACTTCAAATCAATTTTAGCTTATTTGATTTGGTATAAATGTTAAATTATATTACTTTGCAGAATCTCATTTAATTTTCAAACAAAACTGTATAATAATGATAATAAAAACAAACAAAAAGTGTTTTATATCAAGACAAAGGAAAGCAATTATAATGACGGAGCAGAGAGTTTGAGCTGTACATGAAAAAGAGGAAACTTGAACTTTTAAAATTGCGCAGAGGTGTACCCTGTATAAAACAACAACAATGGAGCAAAGCAAGGCCATGGTGAGTTTACAACCGGTGATTAAAAACCTCAATTAATTGTGTGGGACTCTGCTCCAAAATGTTGACAGATGTTTTGCTTTAGATTTTTGAATTTTTGGTGCAGTGAGCTGCAGAGAGTGTGTGGATCTACTGGGGAACATCTCCTTCATCACCATTCATAGTAGAAAGCATAAAGCTGGCAATTGTGGTAGTCAGTCCCATTGCGTACAGTACATATCGCTGTGCGTCCAAATTATTTAGCATTTGGTCTAATTTTTTTTATTATAAATTAACATATGGATTTACAAGCTTGCCAAATTGTGAAAATGAAATAAGAGCTTGCAGCTATAAGTGTTTTTAATTAACTCATGACTTAAATGTTAATTAAAGTGTCTTACTGATTGATTCGTTACGTGAACTAATAAAACCCTCATCACTGATGAATATTTAGCCAGTGATGAGTCATATCTTAGTCATGAATTTATGAAGCATCAGTAGTGAACCCTTATTGTTAAAGTGCTGCTCTTAAAACTAAAGCTCTCATTAATCAATCTATCTGCACATCTTCATAATTTCTAAATGAGTATAAATGAAACATGATGACAGATAATAATTGAATTTACTAGTTGCCTAATTTCTGCTTTGTTACACTTTGTTATTATATAAAGTTTAAATTCACTTTATGTTATTTGGCCTTTATATAATCAGGATCTTGACCTTGATTGAGGTCCAAAATTAATTAATTTCAAGTGATTTCTGGCCAAAATGGCAGCACAGCTATGTAGCAGGGACACTAAACTGAAGGGGATTTAAAAGAATAAGGACAAAAAGTAGAAAAAACAGAAATCTGAGTGGCATAATTCCTGCAGTGCAGAGAGATCCACCCACCTGTCCACAGCAATAGCAGTGAGTGTGAAGACTGAAACATAGACTGTGACTGGTTGGATGAGGAACACCAGATAGCACATTGAGCGCCCAAAAACCCAACCACGTGGGTTGAAGGCGTAGGCGAGAGTAAAAGGTACGCAGGTCACACACATCAGCATGTCAGAGAAGGCCAGGTTTCCGATGAAGAAGTTGGTAACATTGTGCATCTTGCGGGTTCGGCAGATGACATAGAGCAGCAGATAATTCCCAAAGACGCCCACTGCCACAACAAGCACGTAACAGGGGATGATGAGGGGCTTGAACATCTGCAGCAGAGCCACATCTGCAAACCCAGAGCTGTGGTTGGTGGAGTTGTTCTGTACCGCAACCTCATAAACGTGTCCGTCTGTCTGCTCTCCTGACACAGACGGCTGTGTGCTACCGGTCAGGACACTGTGATTACCCTCCATGGCAGCAGAGCTCAATCTGTCAGTACCGGCACTGTCCAAAATACAATAACACAAGTTTGCAGCTGTTATGACAGACCATTAACAACTTTTCTAAAGGTCAAATGTCTATCAAATTAGTGTATTCAATCCGAAGATGCATGCAAAATTTAAATATTCTGATGAAAACAGGTCATGACATTTATAAAATGGAAGGCCATTACTGAAGGCTTTTACCAACGCCAACACATTCTCTCTCTCTCTCTCTCTCTCTCTGGTATGAGGCAAAGTGCACATTATTAAAGGGTTTATAATCATGAAGGCATTTAAATATGAATAGCTTAAGATGAACAGCACAACACCTGCATCCTCCAATTAGATGTACATACAGAAAATGTCAAATCACAGGGTTGAGTCTGCAGAGGACATACAGTACTGTGTTAGTGTGATTACAGACCAGCTGACTGTTTCTAGCACTTTTCAGCATCAGCAGAATATTTATTCAACATGGCTGGATTTTGATGCATTTTATCAAGCAGTAAAAAGATTTGGTTACTTGCTGATTGTTATTGCCACAGTCACTTAGTGGAGAATGAATTACAGAAAATAAAAGGAACGTAAAACTGTTAAACAAAATTCACTTTGGCGTGAGAGTTTCTGATCTCTCATTTCAAAGCATTATGTTGCACTTGAAGCAAGTTTACTGATGCAACATCTGAAACTTTTGTAGTAAAGAATAAATAAAACCTTTTATCAAGTAAAGGTAAAGGCTACTACTCTAATTAAACCAATGTACAGTAGTGCATATGTGTATTGATTGTGTGCAGGCTTCAGGGGTAACAGATAACATTTACATTTACGTAATCAGGATACAAAAAAAGGTACAAAGTTACAGGCATTATTAGCAGGATTACAATTTTAGATTACAATTTTACAATTCATGTTTTTCTTTAAAATGAGCAGAGAACATGTTTTTGATACTAAACATCTTGGTTATATTGTTCTGTTGTCTTATAGAATAAAATTATAGATATAAATCCATACTTCTTACTGACATTTTCTCTTATGTTTATTTACATATTTGGTGTTGATGTAATCCAAAAAAAAAAAAAACGGAAAGTAATCATGTTACGTTTAATATTGTGATACTTGGATTATGTTATTGATTACATGATTAATTACAACAGGAATTGTATCGGATTACATTTTTAAACCAACCCTCCCAACCCTGATTGAGGAGTGAGTGAATGTAGAGTAAGAGATACTTTTGTACTTTTGGTTATTAGCGACATACAAATACATTTTGTGTTATGAGCACACTTATTACTGAATCAAAACTACACACTATGGACAAAAAAACACTTCACAAAGTGATACTCCTGCTGGGACAAACTGTTATGAAGCCCATCATTTTAAAATCTTCTTCTGATTTTTTTAGATGATTCATGTTCACTTTTACAGCCGTAGCTTGTGCTGGTGTTTAAATGTCCCACTGAGAGTTGTTCAGCCAGAGCCGGTGAGGGTCTATTGTGACCATTCATCCTCTTTGCTAATGGGGGTTGGTTTTCCTATATTTTGCACATAATTTCATCCAAGTATTTTAGACCTTTTCATCTTGCCACATTGCATAATTTGAAACTGCAGCATGAACAGTGACTGTTTGGCCTTTCTATAGCTCTCATGTTGCTGTCAGTTTTCTGTTACAGCTGACACTCACTTAATTAGTGTGACTTAATGTGACTCACTTGTGCAGTGCAGAGGAACTTTTTTCACATGAAATTCATTTCCACTACAGTCGATACAAAGACTTATTACAAACAAACATAATATTCATGAACAATTAGTAAGAGAGATTTAATTGAAAAATAATCATAGATTTGGTCTCATGCTTGCCGAGTGTTATTGAAAATTTTAGTTATCACAGTTGGATGAAAGTCTCAATGTTTCAGACTAGTTCACATGATCAACAGCTACTGTATGAACATATAGAATACACTTCGAACAGAATTCTGTAGTAAACTACAATATATTAGCTTTGTATGACTATAGGCTACAAAATAAAATCAATTGTGTATTTCCACATATGCATGGAAGGACTTACACTTACATATACAGAATATTATCTTTCGATTTCCAAACCACTGCTGTTTGTCAATGGAACAATTCTGTTTTGAATCTGTTTCAAAAGATCATATCTGCAAAAATAAAATGCTCATGTATTCAACTTCATAAGCAAAGGAAGAACTTACATTTTAAAGCAGAACTTAGCGTCCACAATGACTTTCCTTGAGTATGACTACACATACAGTATGAGCTTAAACCCAATGGCACAGAACGTTATCCACTTGGATGTCACAATGCAGACAAAAATAATAGAGTAATAAAAAAACAACATATTTGTGTGTTTTTTCCGTTATTTAGTCCTGTGGGATAGATTTGTTCATGTTTATAGATTTTGTACCATCCTCAATCATTTATATATCATATCTGATGCTTTCCCTCATATTTATCTCCTACACTATTAGTAGCATAGTCTGGCTTTATTATAGAAGTTTAGATATTGGCCTTTAGAATATAATGTCAAGAAGTCTTACATAACAGTGCTCAGGCACATAAGACAGTTAGCCCTGTTTAATATATCTCTCAATATGCATACATATAAACTCAAAAAATAGGGCATTTTTGAAATATATATGCAAATCCCGGGAATGCAAATAAATCCTTCCATTACACAATATGAGCCTCAACAATTTTAATCTGCATTTTATGCAAATGGAAATTCAAAATGTATGTGATCTTTATGCCATGTGAATATTTCACACAATAATGAGTAAATGAGAATAATGTGAAAAGTGTTATTACAAATATAAAGAATATATTTACTACTTTATTACTCTGACCGTAATTAAATATCTGTAGTAATCAATCTTGAAGAAAAGATGCTACTATGCCTTGAGGTTTGCAACTAAATAAATGAATAAACATATAAACAAATGCAGATAAAATCCCCCAGAAACTTACCTCTGTTGATCTCAGTGTAAAGATGAGTTGAGTCTTAAGAGCAGACGTTCCTTGTGCGCTTCTCCACTGTGAGTGAGCTGAAACTGCTGCTGTTTTAGAAAGAGAGAGAAAGAGAGGGAGGGAGAGAGACCCAGAGAGGAGACAGAGGGAGAGAGAGAGATGTCTGTAGAAATGACAGTAAGCCAATAAGATGACAGAGACCCCAAAAAGATTCATGTCTTTGTTGGACTTGACGATGACGTTTGATCTTGAACTGATTAATTAGGATTGATGGATCTGAGCATACTGACAGTAACGGTAATTATTGATCTGTTCACAGACATGTGCAGGACTACCTGAGAGTGGTTTGATTATTTACTTGCTTGTTTGTTGATGCATTGGCAGTCTCCCTCTGATTTAACACCATATTGAAGTGCTGTCAGTGCACTGTTTTCAGAAATTGTGCATTAATCGTTTGATTATGGGTGGAGATGATTAAAACAACAAACTCTGAGTGATTGTTTATTATATATGGAAATGTTCTTTCTCGACATAAATTGACCTGCAAACAATCTAATAACAATTTCATAATTGTGAGCCGCCACTGTTTGTCCTTTAATGTTTCTGCATAGATTTAATTGTATTTTAAGCTCAGTGAAAGACGGTAAGTTCAGAATATGCCACTTACAACATTATAATTTTGCACCCTATTGATGACGGTCTCTATTTTAACACCTTGTTCCCAACTTAACAAAAATTGCAAGTGATTTGGAGTGTGTGGAGCTTCTTGCTCTTTGAAAATGTCTCCATTTAGAGCATCAGGCTTTAAACTCCCACCTAGACAAGTGAGTGCCTACAGTAATTCCATTGTCTACAAGCTTTCCCTGGATAAAAGGATTTAAAGTGCACTGTAATTCACAGTTACATGTTCTCTGGTTCCAAATGGCAGAGTAAGACTGGGACATTTAAATTCTTTTACTGAAAATATTAACAAAATGACCTTTTCATTACAGATGGCAAATTACGTTGTTGGGCAGAAGTTACTTCTACTTCCTCTTAATTGGCATGGACTTTAAAGCCCCCCTCCACTGAAATATTAGTTTCTTCTTGTTCCTACAGTTGGATGGTTGAGTTTCACTGTGCAGAATGGTGTATGTGCAGAGTTTGACTCTAGAAGGATGTTTTACCAATCATCTTCTCAAATTGGAAAGTTTCTCTTTGGTCATTGAAAATCTGATTTTTAAGGGGCGGGGCCTAACAGCATGATCTGTGACATCACAAATATTTTGGAATACATATTTCGTCCAGCAAGAAAACAACATTTGCATATTCCTAGATTTTGGAATTTTAACGAGGTAGAAGGAATAAAACCTATTATGAATTTGAATGTGGAAATTACTGTGAAAAGACTATTTGTATATATGTCTTACAATATTGTAATGCATATCTGTAAGGAATCTTTAAGCAAACCCCACAAAACACAAGTCAGTCATTTATGTTTTCAGCAGAATGAAAATGATCAACCTTCTTAGAGACATTGGCACCCATTGTGGCTGTAAGTAAAATACATAGAAGCAGCAAATCTTGTCAACTGTGTAAAGGAAAAGATGACAGAAAACAAACAAGACCATCATCTGCATCATATCTATTCTGCCTGCTCACGTAATGAGCAAGACTGTAAAAGCATCCACATTTCATAGACCTTACATTACACGCATAATGACAGCACTGCCATCTTTTGTATGTTTGTATGTGCTTTTAAATCAGTGTTACACAGAAAAGAGAGAATCAATTTATTTCTCAAAAGGGCAGGGGAAATCTATGCACACAAACACAAAATTACCCAGGGTTTAGAGGACAAGCATTGTAGGAAATAACATGTTTATCTGCCAGTGCAGTGTTCTCGTCCAGAAAAGCATGCCTGTGGCTGCAGAGATGATAACATACACAAACCAGATGTAGTTAGTTGCCAAGAGGGTATTAAAAAAAAGGAGGTGAAAGTAATGTGGACTCAAGGAAATGGA